TATACGCAAGAGGTTCTGAACAGGGGGAGTTATAAGGAAGAAGATAAAAAATTGAAATTAATATTCCCTGGTTTTCTTTTCTCCTTTTTTCTCTTTTTTTTGCATTTGCGCTCTGATATTCTTGTGACAATATATCGTCAAATAGATATATATATATCGTCACAAATAGAACTGCCTGGTAAACCGTAGGCAGAGAGAGAGAAGAGGACAACAAACGAGGGGCTGTGACAAACTGTTTCGTCGGAGTTTCACCGACTCATCAGGAGGCTGAACCCTATATATATTGTTGTCCTCTTCTCCCTCTCTGCCTATGGTTTACCGGGCAGCTCTATTTGACGATATATATATAGCCCTCGTTTGTTGTCCTCTTCTCTCTCTCTGCCTACGGTTTACCGGGCAGTTCTGTTTGTGACGATATATATATAGTATTTTGAATTAAAAAAAGAAAAAATACGTTAAGAAAGGGTGGTAGTAGGGAAATCTTTAGGAATTGCCGAAATTCACTAAAGTCCGCCACTGAATATATTGATTGAAATCAATTATTATATTCCGTTCGACTTGCATGTGTTAAGCATGCCGCCAGTGCTCATCCTGAGACAGGATCAAACTCTCCATTAGATCCAAAGTTCAAAACCTATATATGTATAACAGAGCTGCCTGGTAAACCATAGGCAGAGGGGGAGAAGACGACAACAAACGAGGGGCTGTGGCAAACTGTTTCGTCGGAGTTTCATCAACTCATCAGGAGGCTGAACCCTATTATATATATATATTACTAATTCCTGTAATCTTCTTGCTCCAAGGGGAACGGCAGCAGCTATGGCTGCCAGAATGGCCGGGTGAAGGAGGTGTGAAGAAGACAGGAGTTGCGGGCTATGGCTACCAGTATAGCTGATGGCAGGTATGGCTGCCCCTGTAGCTGGTAGTCCAGCTGTCCTCGAGCGGAGCTGCCAAATAGCCTCCCACCTGTAGTAACCCAGATCCTACCCACAAACCACCCCAGTGCACTGCCCCAGCCTTGGAGAAGGATTTCATCGCCACCAACTTCAGATTTTGGGGTCGGGCGGGCTGCGGCGCTGTAGAATAAATAAATAAATTGGCGGTCTCCGAAGTGGTACCGGACTCAGCTGGACACCCGGGGCCGATGTATGGTGTACTGGTGGTTTAAGGAGCCTACCTACCTGTGCCCTGCAAATGGAGTGCTATGCAAAGATCTAATGGGAGTTCGCCTCACATTATCCACATGGCAACAACTCATGCGATCGGAGGTTCTGGCTGGGCGACTTCATCCTGAAATGAAAGACAAGAAACCAAAATCATGCAAGAAAAAAAAAACTCTTCACCAGCAGTACAAAAAAACCGTTTTTCGATGGAGTCCAATATACCCCTGTTGCTCTTGTCGCAAGAAGATTTCACTCCCTCTTCAAACGCTACAAGATACACTGTCGTGGCAAACACCTCCATAGCCGCTACACAACATAAACCACAACTCTGTGCCGTGCGCATCTTCCGTGCCACTGTATGTCGCGCATACCGCCTCCCTCCCTACCCAGCTCGTCAGTGCGACTGGCCACTTTTTGATACTGCTAGTAGGGGTCACTCTCCTGTGAACGAACAATGACATGATGATACTCATTCCTAGCAGTGGTGCTGAACCGACCGGGGACACGGCTTGAGCCTTGTTGGACCCAAGCAAACCTAAACTAAGCCTATTCTTTGCTCCGCATACACAGTGGGCTGTCAAAAATGCTGCCCGGGTTCAAATCCCATCATCGACAACAACGAGAAATCTTTAAATAACCAAACACATGGGGCAGTCGGGGGTTTTTGGCTGCTGCCTGCTCCATTCAGCCCACAATGGATGGAGGTTGAAGAATATAGGGATTCTGGAATCAAGCTCAAACAGGCCCATCCACTCAGATTTGGAGCCCCTCGAGAAGCAACCTATCCACAATGGCAATCTGCAGCCATTTGTCATCGTGCAAGTGCATCTGAATCCTGTCTCCTTCTCTGAACTGCAATGCTTGCTTCAATACTTGCATTCTCCTATTGACAATGCTTGCACCCCTTGGCCGTAGGTTGGGTACTGCATCCCTCGAGAAGCAACCTATCGACAATGGCTTGCACCCCCTCTAGAGGTGATTCACGGAAAGTGCTGTCCTTCTCAGACCCCTTGGCCATAGGTTGGGTACTGCATCCTGATCCAACCTGTCTCTCGATCTATCATCTTAGATCACCTGGACAGATCCTGGCAGTTCCACTTCCGTAATAAATAGTGAGGCAGTTTCTTGGTGTCCTTCTATGTCCCCGGCCTTTCCAGACTGTTCGTCAGTCTTGAGGGGCTGAAAAAAGAATACAGCTTGATGTTCATTCTCCAGATCCAAATCAAGCACGAGAAACAAACATCCTATCTTATCAAATATGAATTCTGCAATTGATTAAGATCACGATACGAGTACCAATGGGCGGAGTTCAGTTGGTACGCCCATGCACTGTAGAAATACAGACCGGAGTTTGAATCCAGATGCAATCAAAATAAGTCTCAATTACCTGGGGCCTGCGCCGTTCAATGATGATATCTCAAGGCCGTCACCCTTTGCTTCCTCCCCCTTCCCTCC